TGTCCGTTGCGGAACGGCAGCGCTGGTTATCCGCTGCTTGCTCCGCCGTCCGTCAATACCCACCGGCTGCGTTTGCTGTGCGGAGCGGTGCAGCTCCGCCGAAGACATCTCGGTGCACTGCCATGATTAATATCTCCTCGTCCATGGTGTTCACAGGGTGAAATGACGTTTGAAAACCTCTGACCTGTTGACTTCAGGCCTGCCTCTGCCCATTATGTCATTTTTAAGGTGTAGTGCAGGGAAATATGATCCGCCGTGAACACTGTGTATTTTATTTTGAAAATTAACCGGATGTTTTATTGTGTTTCTGTGCACGACTTCCTGCCCTGCATGATCTGCTCTGTGCTGAATTACTGCGTTGTGCTCCGGCGCCCGGCAAAAATAGAAGTCCTGTGTATCTGTTGCAGAGGGCTCTGGAGTGCCTGAGCTGAGATGGAGCCGGAACGCAGCACAGCCGCAGCCGGTGGAAACACATACATTGATTAGAATTGAATCCTATCGGCTCCGCTGCCGTGCCGGAGCGGAGACGCAACCAACACGCATCTGGTGGAAATTGGCCGTCACTTTCACCACTCGGCGACCAATCGTCATCAGAAGGCAAAAATCTCTTGTCAGAATCAGAATCGGCAAGTAACTGACAAAGTACTTCATCAACAGTGAACAATTCTTTGGGCATTTTGTGTGTTTTTGCTGTATTTCGCTCTCTATCTTTCTCTATCTGCTGGCCCTCGCATCGCTCTCTCTCATGATTTATTAGCCGACTATGGGTGTTTACTCTTTTACTTATCCAATCAAACTTTACCACGGTCTCTCTCAGCCAATCAGGATGCCACTGCAAAAAATTTTATCTGCTCTCTCTTCTGCTGCTGTCAGCCATCATTTTAGGCAGCTCAACAATGGCTCATTCTTCTACTCATGCAGATCATTAGCACTTCTCCATCTTCCTCTCATCCATCCATCCATCCATCCATCCATCTCATTTTCACCACCTCTACCACCACCAGCATCTAGACCCCAGGGGTTTCCCTATTCAACAATGGATTCATCACCTTCCTTAAATCATACCACCTCTATGGGGTCTATTTGTCAAAATACTTTTCACATTTTGCATTCCTATGGGCACATGTTAATGAATATTATTTTTACTATAAAAATGTGTCTCTCCTGATTGAAATAAAGTTAGATAATGAAACAAGAAGATGAAATGGAAAAAAAAAAAATCACTGAACAAAAACCTAATAATGAATTAGAAAACAAAGAAGAGACACTCCTAAACCAACCACAGCATGATATTCGCAGGGCTGTGCACAGGCTAATAGAGGTGCAGGGACTCAAAGGCAGAAAAGGGCACTGGGTCTAGCACAATACAGTATGTAATATAAATTGATAAAGTAGGCTACTAGTCATAAATAGCTAGCTAACAACCTAGCTGCATACCATAGTATGTAGCTTTTTAAATCTTTGTGCAAAGAAATTATCACCAACAGATTAGTTTAAAGGGCCAGTCAAATAAAATGCTGATAATATAACGTTAAATATAATAATATTATACATATATATATGTGTAAAATATATGTATGTA